ATGTAACACGGCGGTAATTCTATTCATACAATCTAGGCTACATGGGGGGCGTCGCGGTATAAATACAACTTTATGACCAGAATTGTTCTGGGTTTCCTATTACAGAACCTCCTCGGGAATGCTCAGGAATTTCCCTGTAGACCTTCCACTGAATCCAGAACTATTAATCACTCGGAACGTCCTGGCCGTGTCCTATATGTGGAGGAATATTTCCACATTTCCCTTCATTTCTATATACAGTCAGACGACCTTTTACAGAGTTTTAGTGGAATAAAAAGAACTTCTCTGTATTATAATAGATGTGAAATCTCTGATATCTGTCTCTTCCAGTCTTCTTTCCACAATCAGAATTTTCTCCAATTTTTGTGCATTTCACAATCACCTCCCATCCTCGTGATTTGTGCAACCCAACTGCTATATTCACATTTCCTATTCTGTCCCATTCCCACCCTCACTGGGGGGGGGGCAAGGGGGCGACTTGCAAATTGATGTCCCATTTCCTCTGCCTCGAAATACATTGCACACATTTTCTGTCCTTAAAGGGGTTTGTAAAGCCTTCCAAACCAGTGAAATGACTGGGCTCAGGCAGGGGCGGACTGACAACTCATGGGGCCCCCGGGCAATAGGGGATCATGGGGCCACTGTGTCCTTGCCCAAACTAAAAAAGCCTATGCAAAAGGTACCAGGGGCATCTCATGGGGTCCTCTACTGACCCCGGGCCCTCGGGCAGTGCCCGAGTTTCCAAATGGTCAGTCCACCCCTGGTCTCAGGTGATACACATAGATGAAACAAATTGTCCTACAAAAGTTGTACCTGTTTATCTGAAGCCCTCTCTGCTCTATATTCAAAGCCCAGCATTTACACAGCTTTTCTGAGCTGCGGAAAGCAAGGGGTGAGGATCTCATAAAGTTACCCTGATACCCTGAGGAAGTCACATGATCATGACGCAACGCGCCGGTACGTCAGTTCCGGTGACTCACTTCCGGTTGGACGCCATTTTGGGCTGGTTATGAAGATCCATGCAGTACACCCATAATAAGTGGTGGCAATGCTTTTTAATCATTATCTCATGTGAGTGGGCAATTTTACTTTATTCCTTGACATTTAACCTCCCTAGCAGTCTTGATGTCAGTATTTCTGTCTCAAAGCTGTACATTTTTTTGCATGGAAATATGTTTTTTTTTTATTGACGGCATGTCATTTTTAGGAATAACTCCCTGAAATCTGTCCGGACAAGAGTCTAGTAAACATCCCGGGGAGGATAAAATTTGAAAAACAAAATCATAAATTATAATTTAGTAAATAATCATAAAAAATAATAATATAATAATAATAAATGTAATTCAATAATATAATCAAACCAAAAACACTGAAATGTGAAATAGAGCGCCAAGTTCTCCCATCGCTGAGCTCAGTCGCAGAATCGTTTTCAGTGTCTGATGAGGAATTTCCCCCACCAATCATTATCACTCAATTCTGCAAGTGGTTCTGATTTACTATCGCTGTTCTCTAGCCGGTCTAAAACCACGTCTGACCTAAAGGGACGCTTTTTGGACGCCATAGACGTTTCTCAGTTTCCAGGCAGAAAGGGCGGTAAAAATGCAGGCAGGGCGCCGGACAAAGCACTCGGGACACAATGTATCTGAAATGGTTGGATACAGGAATGTTATACTATGTGATTTTAGTGTATTTAGTGAATGTCACTTTTTGTCATTTTAAAATTTCCCGCCAGTTCCGTCCCCCGTACGTCCCGACGTCGCAGGGAACAGAACCCGGAAGACAGATGCCGGCATCGGCCGGATTACATTACAGGGGACACTGCAGGGGGGACATCGCGGGAGCGCAGGACAAGGAAAGTGATCGAGGGATTGCGGAGCAGCACCACATGGTAAGTCCGAGTGTAGCTCGGGGGGGGTCACCGCTTGTGGTGCTGAAGCTTTACCCCGAGCTACACTCGGGAATACCACCAGGGGGGTTAATAAACATATTACACTATGGAGGATGTTCTTTGCTTATGTTTTTGATGGCTCTGATGGGAATGTGACCTGAGAGTATTATTGGGAAGGATCCCATACAACACCTTTACCTGGACGAGGCCTGTTCTCTGGGATCGTGGTGAGATTTATAAGGCGAGATGGTCCTTGTGGTCATTGTTTGGAGGTGAGAGGGCATTTCTGCTATTTTACAAGTTCTAAATGTGTGCATGAAACGCAATGGCTCGTGCACATAATGGAGGTTGGATGGTGGAGGTTGGAGGGCAGAGCTTGGAGGGCTGAGTGTGGATGATGGAGGGTGGAGGGCAGAGGTCAGAAGGTGGAGGTTGAAGGGTGGAGGTAGAAGGGAAGAGGTTGCAGGGTGGAACTTGGAGGTTAGAGGGCAGAGTTTGGAGGACAGAGGGTCAAGGTTGGAGGGCAGAGATTGGAAGGTAGAGGTTGAAGGACAGAAGTTGGAGAGTGAAGGTTGGAGGGTGAAGATTGGAGGGCAGAGGTTGGAAGGTGGCAGTTGTAGGGCGGAGGTTGAAGGGTGGAGGTTGGAGGTGGAGGGCAGAGGTTGAAGGGTGAGGGTTGGAGGGTGGAGAGCAGAGGTTGGAAGATGGATGTTGGAGGAGGGTAGGGCAGAGGTTGCAAAGTGGAGGTTGAAGGGCAGATGTTGGAAGGTGTAGGTTGAAGGGCAAAGGTTGAAGGGTATAGGTTGGAGGGTAGAGGTTGGAGGTGGAGGGCAGAGGTTGAAGGGTGGAGAGTGGAGGGTGAAGGGTGGAGGGCAGAGATTGGAGGGCAAATGTTGAAAGATATAGGTTGAAGGGCGAAGGTTGAAGGGTGGAGGTTGGAGGGGGTGGAGGTTAAAGGGCGGAGGTTGGAGGGTGGAGGTTGAAGGGTGGAGGGCCGAGGTTGAAGGGTGGAGGGCAGAGGTTTGAAGGTGAATGCTGAAGGGTGGAGGTTGGTGGTTGTAGGCTGGAGGTTGGAGAGTGGAGGTTGAAGGGCGGAAGGCGGAGTTTGAAGGGTGGAGAGCAGAGGTTGTAGGCTGGAGGTTGGAGAGTGGAGTTTGTTGGAGGGCGGAGTTTGAAGGGTGGAGAGCAGAGGTTGTAGGCTGGGGTTGGAGAGTGGAGGTTGAAGGGTGGAGGACGGAGTTTGAAAAGTGGAGAGCGGAGGTTGGAGGCTGGAGATTGGAGGTTGAAGGGAGGAGGGAAGAGGTTGTAGGCTGAGGTTGGAGAGCGGAGGTTGAAGGGTGGAGAACAGAGGTTGTAGGCTGGAGGTTGGAGATTGGAGGTTGGGGAGGGAGGGCGGAGGTTGAAGGGTGGAGATTGAAGGAGGGAAGGGTTTAGGCTGGGATTGGAGAGCGGAGGTTGAAGGGTGGAGAACAGAGGTTGTAGGCTGGAGGTTGGAGAGTGGAGGTTGGAGGGCAGAGGTTGAAGGGTGGAGATTGAAGGGAGGAGGGAAGAGGTTGTAGGCTGGGGTTGGAGAGCGGAGGTTGAAGGGTGGAGGGCGGAGTGTGAAGGGTGGAGAGCAGAGGTTGTAGGCTGAAGGTTGGAGAGTGGAGTTTGAAGGGTGGAGGGCAGAGGTTGGAAGGTGAGGGTTGAAGAGCGGAGGTTGGGGATTTGTCATTTGGATGTCCAAAATAGTTTGTCTGCTGTTATCTATTGCTCATCCATCTTGTTTAGGGTGGGAACAGGGGCGGACTGACCATTTGGAAACGTGGGCACTCCGAGGGCCCGGTGTCAGTAGGGGGGCCCATGATATGCCCCTGGTAACTTTTTCATAGGATTTTTTGAGCTTGGGCAAGGACACAGGGGCCCCATGATCCCCTATTGAGGGCCTGGGGTCAGTAGGGGCCCCATGAGATGCCCCTGGTACCTTTTTCATAGGCTTTTTGAGTTTGGGCAAGGACACAGGGGCCCCATGATCCCCTATTGCCCGGGGGCCCCATGAGTTGTCAGTCCGCCCCTGGGTGGGAACTTCTTCAGTTACAACCCTTCCCCCCTCAGAGAAGTCCATGTCCACCATTCCTGCAGGTACAACTTATCATTGTCTCAGACATCACTAAATTCAACACTCTATAGAATTGCTGAACATATTTCTGTGACAGGGAAGGGTGAGTTCGGTGATATTACTGGGCCTCCTGCTTAACGTTCAATATTTGTGTAATATGTAACATTATAGCACAGTCTGTATATATAGTATTTGTGATATTGTACCACCGATTGGTCATTTGCCCTCAGAGTTGTCATCTTCTTCTATTCTATGCAGGTTTTGTATTGCTGATGCTCAGTACCCTCCTTCATTTACATATGTGGTTCCATACTAAGAAACAGAAACATCATCTCCCACCTGGAGTATTGTATTCCATACTGTGACCACTACACTGGAAGTCCATCACTCAGCTATACATCTGTATCTTCCTTTAATAAAGCCTCTGAATTATTCCAGTGATTGATCTCCATTGTTTCCAGTATTAAAGTGGAATTAAAGGCAAAATGTTTTTTTTCCCAATTTTGGATAGAATATGGGAAGGTTATAACACCTGTTGACTTTTTTTGTTTGCTGTCTGTGTCCCCATTGGGGGAAATTCCCCTTCCCTTCCTGTCCCATAGCCAAAACAGGAAGTGAGAGGAAATCCCTTCAAAGTGAGGGAATCCCTGGTTGTCTCCAGAACCAGTGTCCCCCCATGAGAAGATTTCTAGGGGCAACCCAAATTTTGGAATTGTCCTTTACTTTCAGTTTCAGTGATAACAATAAACAGGACAAATAGAGAGGGCGAATCTCCCCAACCGGGACACAGACAGCAATAAAAACTGACAGGGGATCTAAATCTGTTTTGCCTTTAGGCTCCATTCACACTTGTGCAACTCCAAAAGTTGCACGATTTCCAGTGGGACCTTGGAGTGCGACTTTGAGCCGTTTTTACACTCTCTGGCGCTAAGCCGGATCAAAACAGTTCAGGAGCCTTTTCAAAGTCACTGCGACTTTAAGTTGCATATATCCAAATGTGCGCCATTGAAAAACAATGATCTGCGACTTGCCATGCGATTTTATGTGTCCAAAGTGGCATGACAAGATGCACAAGAGCAAGGGCGGACTGACAACTCATGGGGCCCCCGGGCAATAGGGGATCATGGTGCCCCTGTGTCCTTGCCCAAACTCAAAAAAGCCTATGAAAAAGGTACCAGGGGCATCTCAGGAAGCTCCCTACTGACCCCAGGCCCTCAATAGGGGATCATGGGGCCCCTGTGTCCTTGCCCAAACTCAAAAAAGCCTATGAAAAAGGTACCAGGGGCACCTCAGGAAGCTCCCTACTGACCCCAGGCCCTCAATAGGGGATCATGGGGCCCCTGTGTCCTTGCTCAAGCTCACAAAAGCCTATGAAAAAGGTACCAGGGGCATCTCAGGAAGCTCCCTACTGACCCAAGGCCCTCAATAGGGGATCATGGGGCCCCTGTGTCCTTGCCCAAACTCAAAAAAGCCTATGAAAAAGGTACCAGGGGCATCTCAGGAAGCTCCCTACTGACCCCAGGCCCTTAATAGGGGATCATGGGGCCCCTGTGTCCTTGCTCAAGCTCACAAAAGCCTATGAAAAAGGTACTGGGGCATCTCAGGAAGCTCCCTACTGACCCCAGGCCCTCAATAGGGGATCATGGGGCCCCTGTGTCCTTGCTCAAGCTCACAAAAGCCTATGAAAAAGGTACCAGGGGCATCTCATGGGGCCCCCTACTGACCCCGGCCCTCGGGCAGTGCCCAAGTTTCCAAATGGTCAGTCCGCCCCTGCACAAGTGTGAATGGGGCTTTAGTTATACTTTAAACTCAAACTTCTGGTCCCCACCACCAAGGTCCAGGGTAACTCTTCATCCACCTCCTCTCATCCTTTGTCTTCTCTCAGATCAAACAAACACACCCTACAACCTCATAGAGAATATCAGAGAGAGCAAATCAAAGGAATATCCTGAACTTTAAAAAAAAAAAAATGTTCAAAAGAAATTTCAAGTTCTGCCATCAGCAGATCGGTCAGGTGATACAAAGTATAATTCTACTTTATTAGCAGAAGAAAATCTGTTTCCTAAATCCAAACAAACCGAGCTTCAAGAACACGATCAGTCAACATTAATGAAAGTGAATACCTAATACATGATCGATACCTTTCAATAATTTTCGGGATGAGAAAGTAATAAAAAGTTTTTGAAGTCCAAAAGTAAAGATCCCGGGAAGAGGTGGAGAGGCGCTAAGAAGCCTGCCCTATAAACTGTTACATTGATGAATCATTAATAACGTCTTATAGCATCGTGTTGGCTTTCAGCTACATAAATGTCAAGTTTCAGTAAAGTGAAGCGATCGGCGCCGTTCATCAATACGTCTCACCGCTCGCTGTCAGCACTTTCATATCACAGATATTTGTCATACTGAGAACCAATAGAAAGTGGACTGAGATGTTAATGTAAACTTGCAGTATATATGCAGATAAAGTGAAGGCTTGGTTGGGCAGCACAGAGGCTAAATGGTTGGCACTTCCACCTGGCAGTACTGGGGTCATTGGTTTGAATCCCAACCATGGCACCACCTGCCTGGTGTTTGCATGTTCTCCCTGTGACTGTGACTAATAGAACTCCACACGGCTATTATTGTGAACACGCCCCTTTCAATGAGTGATTCAATGACACAGAATCAGCAGCATGCGTGTCATGACTGTTGGGTCTGTTGGGTTTCTATGACTCTGCTACACCTGCTAGGAAATTATTTGCCATGTAGAAATATCATTTCTACCAAAAACAGTGATTGATCCGGTTAGTGATGTCTGACGGCTATTATTTTCAACACAACTGTACTAGGGACAATTTAGACAGGAGCCAATTCACCTACCAGCATGTCATTGGCGTTTCCCTCCCACACCCCAATGACATGCTGGTAGGTGAATTGGCTCCTGTCTAAATTGTCCCTAGTACAGTTGTGTTGAAAATAATAGCTGTCAGACATCACTAACCGGATCAATCACTGTTTTTGGTAGAAATTATATTTCTACATGGCAAATAATTTCCTAGCAGGTGTAGTAGAGTCATAGAAATCCAACAGACCCAACAGTCATGACATGCATGCTGCTGATTCTGTGTCATTGAATCACTCATTGAAAGGGGCGTGTTCACAATAATAGCCGTGTGGAGTTCTATTAGTGACGTCATTCATTCTTTGATAAACAGGTGGCAATTATTGCCCTTATTTAAGGAAGGAAGGCAGCAAATGTTGGACATGCTGGTTACAGTGCATTTCTCTCTGAAATTCTGAGGAAAATGGGTCGTTCCAGACATTGTTCAGAAGAACAGCGTACCTTGATTAAAAAGTTGATTGGAGAGGGGAAAACATATAAAGAAGTGCAGAACATGATCGTCTGCTCAGCTAAAATGATGGCAAATGCTTTAAAATGGCAACCAAAACCTGAAAGACGTGGAAGAAAGCGAAAAACTACCATTGGAATGGATAGAAGAATAGCCAACATGGGGCGGACTCAGCCAACAATCAGCTCCATGAAGATGAAAGAAGGTGTGACGTTCCCTGTGAGGACTCAGCCAACAATCAGCTCCAGGTAGATGAAAGAAGGTGTGACGTTCCCTGTGAGGACTGTTACAATTAGAAGACACCGATGTGAAGCCAAGATATCTGCAAGAAGTCCCCGCAAAGTCCCACTGTTGGGAAAAAGACGTGTGCTGAAGAGGTTACAATCTGCCAAAGAGCACATTGACCGGCCTAAAGAGAAATGGCCCAACATTTTGTGGACTGATGAAAGTAAGATTGTTCTTTTTGGGTCTAGTGGGCGGAGACAGTTTTGTCAGACGACCCCCAAACACTGAATTCAAGCCACAGTACACTGTGAAGACCGTGAAGCATGGTGGTGCAAGCATTATGATATGGGGATGTTTCTCATACTACGGTGTTGGGCCTATTTATCGCATACCAGGGATCATGGATCAGTTTGAATCCATCAGAATACTTGAAGAGGTCATGCTGCCTTATGCTGAAGAGGAAATGCCCTTGAAATGGGTGTTCCAACGAGACAACGACCCCAAACACACCAGTAAATGGGCAACATCTTGGTTCCAGACCAACAAGATGGACGTTATGGAGTGGCCAGCCCAATCCCCGGATCTTCATCCAATAGAAAACTTGTGGGGTGACATCAAAAATGCCGTTTCTGAGGCCAAACCAAGAAATAGAGAAGAACTGTGGAATGTGGTCCAATCATCCTGGGCTGGAATACCTGATCACAGGGGCCAGAAGTTGGGGGACTCCATGCAACACAGATGTACAGCAGTTCTCAGAAACAGTGCGACTACAACCAAATATTCATGAAGTCATTCAAAGGAAAGCAAAATCTTCAAACATTTCTCAGTTTTATACAGTATATATGTAAAGCGCTGCGTAAATTGATGGCGCTATACAAGTACCTGTAATTATTATTATTATTATTATACAGTATTTATATAGCAATAATAATAACCTGATTCTGCACTTCCATATAAGTAGAAGGGAAGGCAAAACCTGCTGGGAGCAAATCAGATGCAGGTCAGAAGAAAGTCAACTGCAGGACAAATATACCCATCAATGGGCTCTGAATGAGCTCATACTGGTGGTAAACCAATACAAGGCCCAAAGGCCAACAACACAAGCCCTAGCAATGCAGCCACATGATGCAGTTCTACTACACAGTGTGCTGCCTCGGAGGACTTCTGCAAAATCTGACTCAGTCTGGAATGTATCAACAAGACCCATTGGCCATTCTTACAATCCCCTACAGGCTCTTGGATGTCCATCATACTGCAAGACGTTATGACCATTCACCCTTCAGATAACTTTCTGAATAGAACTGTAAATGAACACAACAGTCCATCTTGAATGAAGTCCACAGACTACCTTCCCATAAACTCGTCTCTTCAGCCGGGTATAGGTATAGTGCCACAGCTCCCCCCCCCAATTTCCTAGTGATCTGGGAGCCCCCTTTTCTGATCTGTTTGTAACCAAGAAGGATTCCCAAAGTCTCCCACGGTATGCTTCCTGTTGTCACATATTTATTTCACATAAAAGAAAACAAATGTATCAAAGTCAAATCTATCTTCAGAGAGGTTCATCATGGCCACCAGACAGATACAATGCTGTCTTAGGGAGGTTGAACCTTCTTGGTGATACATTATTGGAGGGCTGTAGAACACGGAAATACAGGATTCAGGAAGAAGACATGCCCATTTCACATGTGAGGCGCTCTGTGAAATCTGGGTTACATATAATTTACAACAGAAACCAAAATAATCACCAAAAAATGAGGTCGTCAAGCATACCAACACCAGCAATATGTTTTTTGGAAGTCATCAACTAAGCAATAGAAGAAGAATAGGGGATCCCCCAACTATAGAGACTTAGGGGGCAATATAATTTATATTAAATAAACCTTTACTACAGCACCCCCCCCCCAACACACACACACTTCATTCCCCTTCTACCCCCCTCCTCTCACATAATCAAATATTTGCATTTATTTCATTTTCAAATACTTTTTTGGGGAAACACATCCCCAGACTTCCTTGTTTCTCACATAGGCGAGAATGACGTATTTATTTCCTGCAGCCTCCTGAGATAACCACATCATGCATCCCAGGGAGCCATGGGGCACTCATCCATTGGGTACACATTCATGATGTAACCATTCATGGGGTACTCATCCATTGGGTACACATTCATGATGTACCCATTCATGGGGTACTCATCCATTGGTACACATTCATGGGGTACTCATCAATTGGATACTCATTACCCATTGGGTACACATTCATGGGGTACTCTACTCTATTGGGTACACATTCATGGAGTATCCATCATACCCATCAGGTACTCCCATCAGGTACCCATGGGGTACTCATCCATCAGGTACCCATTCATGGGGTACTCATTCATTGGGTACACATTCATGGGGTACTCATCTATTGGGTACACATTCATGGGGTGCTCATCTATTGGGTACACATTCATGGGGTACTCATCTATTGGGTACACATTCATGGGGTGCTCATCTATTGGGTACACATTCATGGGGTACTCATCAATTGGGTACACTTCATGGGGTACTCATCCATTGGGTACCCATTCATGGGGTAATCATTCATCAGGTGCCCAATCACTGGGAACTCA